ACAAGTGCGGAATAGTCCTGGACCTATCCTGGAGATGGTCTGTTTTTTCTGTCACCACCCACAGCACTGCCTCCTGGCTAATCGCCAGGTGCCATCCCAGCCAAATGTGTGGCCCCGAGACCGGGAATCGGGCAGCAATTGATGCCCTACAGTCATCAACCAGGCCAGTGCCATCACAATGAGCACAGGAGAAAAGTAGCCATGGTTATAGAGATGGAGGCTATGTAGGAGCCCTAGATACACATGTACTAAGATTGATACATTCACTGTTACTGGCAAATGTTCAACTTTTATGCAGTGGAAGTAAAAACTGAGGCCCTGATTTGGCTTAATTACTTGAGGCCAACTGATTCCTTTTTTGGAGGGGGTGGGTATTCAGGATTGAACTCAGGGTCACTTGACCACTAAGCCACACCCCAACCCTATTTTGTATTTTATTTAGAGACAGGGTCTCACTGAGTTGCTTAGCACCTCACTTTTGCTGAGGCTGTTTTTGTAATCGCAATCCTCCTGCCTCAGCTTTCTGAGCCACTGGGATTACAGGCGTGGGCCACAGTGACCAGCCAACTGATTCCTTTTTTGCATATTGACTACACTAGGGTTTTCCCATCCTGAAAGGGTAATCAGTTTGTATTCCAGACATAATTTGTCTTTCTTTCCTACAAGGCTGGTGCCATAGTCCAGGAGCTTACAAAATGTTTGATCCAATATAGTATTGCATCAGTCCAGTGGACCCATTTCACGGCAACAATAATGTAGAATTCATTAGTCACATAATGTGGTTCACTACCCAGAAGCTTCTACACTTAAGTTATTCTAATAATCTGTTGAAGATGCAGCTAAATCACCAGCTCAGAGGCAATGATCTGCAAGGTTGAGGGTGTCATACTCCAGGATCAATGTATTTTCCTATCCCCCAATATGAAAGATACATGAGTCTGAGAACCGAAGTGTGGTAGCAGAAATAATTCCATTTACCCACACTCCCAAAAAATCCACTGGGGCATTTTTGCACCCAATCTTCACAACTCAGTTATCTGATGGACTGAAAGTCCTGATCTTTAAAGGGGACATATATTTTCCAGAAGATATAGCAAAAGTCCTATTGAGTTATAAGCTATCACTGACAACTGCGTGTTTTGGTCTCATTTAATCCAAAGTTCAGGAAACAAGAACAGGAGTCACCGTCTTGGGGTAATTAACACGTGAACATCAGGATTTGTTATTACATAATAGGAGAGGGAAGGATATAGATATATAGAAACCAAATTGCCTGGACTCTGCTCTCAGGTAAACCACAATTCCAGCAGATATGATAGCTGAAAGTGAGAAGGAACTAGGAAAGAGAGAACTGATTATGGCAGACACTATAATCCATTTCATTAACTTTCTCCTTCTAAGTATCTATACTATTTCAAGGCTGCTCATATCCAGTGATTAAGTGAGGTGGAGGTACAAAGACCTGACCATTTCAGACTATTATAAGGTGATGATTCTCATGGGTAATACTTCCAGAGAAATGAATTGAGTTGGGAAATGCTTGAGGGGCCTGCATTGCAGTCTGACTTCTCCCTCTGCTCAATCATGTCCCTTACACCTTCAGAGGTATTGACCTTTAAGAAACATTCTGTATCCTTACCTTTATCTCAGAAGCTGTTTTTACATAACTCCACCCATGACAAGGGACTGTCCATTTAAGTCTTTAAGCTTTCATGTAATGCAGCTACAGGATTTAGCAAATGACATAAGAAATTGATCATGTGCTGGGACTCCTCCATCCAGTCTTCACACAAACTCCAATAGTTTTTATATTCCCTAATGACGCTCTCTATGGGTGCAAAACTCACATTTCTACCCTTCTGTCTGCTTCCAGAAATGATTGATACCACTGCTGAAATGATTTCAGAGGGAAGTTCATTGCTCTGAATTTTTCTTCCTTCTTTTTTTTAATATTTATTTTTCAGTTTTATGTGAATACAATATTTTATTTTTTTATGTGGTGCTGAGGATCAAACCCAGTGCCTCATGCTTGCAAGGCAAGCATGCTACCACTTGAGCCATATCACAAGCCCCCTTTTCTTCCTTCTCGTCTTGGCATTTCTAGTTCTTTGGACCCAAAGAAAAATAAACCCCTTTAAAAATAAATGGTGAAGCCAGGCAGCATGGCACACATCTGTAATCCCAGAAGCTCAGGAGGCTGAGGCAGGAGGATCATGAGTTCAAAGCCAGCCTCAGCAAAAGCAAGACACTAAGCAACTCAGTAAGACCCTGTCTCTAAATAAAACATAAAAACTGCTGTGGATATGGCTCAGTGGTTAAGTGTCCCTGGGTTCAATCCCTGGTATTATTATAATAATTATTATTATTTAAAAATAAAATAAATAATACAATTTAAAAATAAACTAAAAATAGTGAAAAAAAGAAAGAATTCCACCTTAATGTTTGTGCAGAAAATTGATATTTTGATATCAAAAATAAAGGGGGTGGAGATATAGCTCAGTTGGTAGAGTTCTTGACTTACAAGCACAAGGCCATGGGTTCAATCTCCAGAACCACTAAATGAGTGAATGAATGAATGAATGAATCAAGGAGCCCAGGCGTGGTGGTATACACCTGTAATCCCAGTGGCTATGAAGGCTGAGGCAGGAGGATCTTGAGTTCAAAGCCAGCCTCAGCAATGGTGAGGCACTAAGCAACTCAGTGAGACCCTGTCTCTAAATAAAATACAAAATAGGGTTGGGATGTGGCTCAGTGGTTGAGTGCCCCTGAGTTCAATCCCTGGTATTCCCCCAAAAAAGAAAAAAAAATAAAGGAGTGAAAGGAATATAATAGAGGAGAAAAGAGAGAATAGGGGGAGGGAGGTGGGAAGCAAAAGGGGGTGAACAGGGATAAAATCAAAACCCTTGCATGTATTATTTTGTCAAAATAAACCATAATACTCCATATAATTATAATAGTCTAATAAAAATGATGAAAGAGAAAAGATATTTGCAATACCTTGGTAAAAGTATATACCTGCAAAAGAAATACAAGGTATTTTCACATGATTTTACACCCATGTGGATCTAAAAAAAAGTTGATCTCATAGAAGCAGAGAGTAGAATGGCAGAGGCTGGGGACTAAGGGATGGGAAAATTTTGATCAATGAGTATTAAGTTATAATTAAGACAGTAGTAAGAAGTTCCAATGTGATGTCACACAATAGGATTACCATAAATAACAATCATATACTACACATTTTAAAAAGCTAAAGGAAAAGATTTTGAGTTTTTTCCATAAATTAGTGATGTAACTATGAGGAGGTACATATGTTTAACCTGAATTCAACATTATGCAATGCATACATGTATGAAAACATTACAGGGTACCCCATTAGTATGTAAAATTTGATTTTTTATGTACTAGTTAAAAATAAATATAAGTAACTTAAATAGATTTAATAAAAAATGTTGTTTTGAATAAACAAAGATGTTTAAATAAACTCTTTTTTTCTGAACTTCCCAAGTGGCAATATATTACATTTTTTACATTTTTATTGTGCTGTATGCTATTTAGCATTTTGGGATCTTTAATGTTGAAAAAGAGATATGAAGTATGATTTCATAGTTAAATGCTTTACATATTTAATCTAGTTTTATTGTTTTTCTCAGGAGAAATTGTGCTGATAGGAAACATCTCTGTTTCAGAGTCTAGTTCAGTTCTCTACTTGATTTAAAGTGTCTCATTGATATTGGCAATTCCCCATTGTATTTATGTAACTCCAGAATAAGCAATTTGTGTATCTCATATGTGAAGCAGAAATGCCAAGAATCAGATATTATTGATTATATATTATTCTTAATAATAATGCTGGGGAGTTTTTCTCTGAGGTTTGCACTTTATTTGCAACAGGCTTATCTGAAATATACTGTTCAAATTGGTAGTAGAAAATAGGCCTCTATGGCATAGGAATTATGTCTCATTGATCTGTATATCTCCTTCCATCTAACAAAATGCCTGGCTCTAAAAATATAATAAATATTTATTGTAATATTACCTATTAAAAATACAAATTTTACTCTACACAAATTAAATCTCACTTGGTAAAATATGGTTTGTATTATCTGTAGCACATAAATGATGACCTACATTCATCATCAAAAATAGTTCTTGTGGCTAGGTGCAGTGGTGCACACCTGTAATCCTCCCAGCTACTCAGGAGGCTGAGGCAGGAGGATTACAAATTTGAGGCCAGCCTGGGCAGCTTAGAGAGATCCTACCTCAAAATAAAAAATGAAAAAGGTTGGGATATAGTTCAGTGGTAAAGTGACCCTCTGTTCAATCCCCAGTACCAAAAAAAGTGTTACTGTGTATTAAATTAATATTATTAAATACTATAATTAGCATAATATTTTAAAACAAGTATTGCCCAATTCAATTTAGTATATCTATATTCACTACCAGACTGAGCTGCCTGAGATAAATATTTCACTGGGCTTTTAATTTTGTGTTAGGTTTTAATATTTGCATGTACCTCCTAATGGTTAAATTCATTGACTTTCTCAAGAATCGTTCTTTTTTTAAATATTTTTTAAGTTGTCAATGGACCTTTATTTATTTATTTGTGGTGTTGAGAATCAAACCCAGTGCCTCACGCATGCTAGGCAAGTGCTCTACCACTGAACCACAACCCCAGCCCAAGGATTTTTTAAAATATTTTTTTAGTTGTCAATGGACCTTTATTTTATTTGCTTATATGTGATGCTGAGAATCAAACTCAGTGCCTCACACATGCTAGGCAAGTGCTCTACCACTGAGCCACAACCCCAGCCCTCTAATGAATACAGCTCTTAAGTAGCTAAGTATAAACTTAAATAAACCCTCACCCCACTAGATGGCGTTTGACTTTCCATGAGGAGCTGTTGAACTCAGAGGTCAAAAGTTCAGAGTTGAGAGGGTTTCATTTGGTTGCCAGCCGTCTGGTTCTGTGAGGCAAAACAGAGCAGAGAGAGGTAGTTAGAATGGCTGTGAATTTTAATGACCCAGCCAGTGGCTTCTACCAAAGGGAGGTTGTAGATTTTATAAATGAGCAAATACTTCGAAATGGAGTTAGTGCAGACATCTATACAATGCAGACAAGCAAGACCTGGGGTGAATTGGAGAAGAAGTTACAGGCCATCCTGACTGACTCAGCAATTCCGGAATCCATTAAGAAGTCTTGTGCCTGGAGTGCCCTGGCCCTGGCAGTGCGCTTGGCCAGGAAGCAGAAGAAAGAGTACACAGAAAAGGTAATGAAGCTGCAGGAACAGGTAGATGAACAAAAACTGTTCATTAATGTGCTGATAGGAATGGTAAATAGACTCAGGGATACTCAACAAAAGGAAAGGGAGAAAGCTCAGTTTCAACTACAACAAAGCCTTATAATCCTTCATAGAATAGAAGGGGAACGAAATTTACTCAGAAGTGAGCTTCTTAAGGTATTAAGCACTCCATTTCAGGGGCAGGAAGTAATGAAAGAAGAGGAGAATGGAAATGAGACACAGACATTAAACAAGTTTGCATTTGCTCAAGACATAGGAATTGATTGGACTTGGGAGGAAACTGTGGGGGAATCAGGTCAAGAGGCTGCAGCAGCCACAGCTGCTACTATTACTGCTTCTGATGTAGAGGGAGAAGAAAAGGAAAATTTGATTTCTGTTAGTGAGAATGACCAGAAGGTAACCGTTTTTTCTTGTTCTGGTATCTTGGAGGACTGGAGCCAGGCTAGTCCACTGCTACCTCTTAGTCTGTCTGAACCCTCCCTTAGCTCATTCCTGCCTAGCTTCCTTCCAGCAGAAACTGCAAGGGAAACTGTGGTAGTTTCTCCTGGGAGTTATGCTGGGTCTAGCTGGAAGGGTAAGCGACTCCATACCAGGAAGTTTCTGCCAGAATGGTTTAAGCCAAAGCCTGGCTCCTCTCACTCAACAAGATGTGGCATCAAGCGCAGAGAGGGGGATTGGGATTGTGAACAGTGTCATCTGATGAATTTCTCATGGCGAAATGTGTGTTTCAAATGTGGAAAATTCCCGTACACAAAGGAAAGCGTATAGGTTTTTCTCCCAGTTAAGGATCTCTCTGAATTTTAAATAATTCATATCCTGAGGTTCTTTTCTGATTATAAGCAAAATGAGAATACATTCTTGACTACATATTATTATAAGAACAGTCAAGCAAAAAAGGAATAAGATATAAACATCATCTTTGACCTTGATACTCAGAAATATTTTATCTGTTTACTTCCATCTCTGAGTACAACCAACTATGTCAATGAACCATAGTAAATAGTTATATTAAACAGTTTTCTACATTTATTTCTACATGTATGAATATAGTAGTTTATTACCTGTTTTTCTACATTTACAAAGTATAGTAAGTAGTTACATTAAATCGTTTTCTTATAAAATAGAATTGTTTATAAATTATTTATAACTTGCTTTAAATTGGTCTTTCATTTATTTGAGAAATTTTGGAGAATATGGGAAAAAATACATATAAAGAATAAAAATCACACAAAATGCCATCACAAGAAACAATCCTTAGAGCTGTTTTGCTCATCTATATTTGCAGGGCATATAGATATAACAAACACAAATTCACACACAAATGCATGTGGAAACATGCTATTTTCATTTCTATAGTGAAACCAAACTACATATATTTTTGTAATTTGATTTTAAAAATTACATTCATTTACATTTGGAAAATTAAGGAAGACACATATATACATATCAAAATTTATCCAACCACCTGCAGACAATCTCTTTCAAATATTTGGATGCATATATTTTTCTTTTACTTGCATATATATAATTATATATATATATAAAATATTATATATATTATATATAATATATGTAAAATTAAATTTAACACTCTCATTTCCAAAGTGAAAAACTGAAGAAAAAGTGAAGAACAAATAAGAAAATAATGTTCATGCCTAATCTCATTATTCAAAAAGGTCATTATTTTATCTATGTAAATATTATTTTTATGAAACTTTTTTGTGTGATTTATATATTTTTCCCAATTTTTTGGAACCTTGTACTAGATTTGGCTATTTATTCATTTATTTACTATTTTTATTTTATTTATTTATGTATGTATTTATTTATTTTTTGTGGTACTGGGAATTAAATTCAGGGCATTGTCCATGCTAATTACATGTTCTACAACTGAGCTACACCTCCAGACCAGCTCTTTCTTTTTTATTTGTTTATTTTATTTTATTTTTTTGAGGTCCTGGAGATTGAACCCAGGGGCCTTCTCTATGTTAAGCAAGCACTCTACTACTGAGCTACATGCCCTGCAACTATTTCTTTGTTTTTGAGTAGGCATGGTACTGGGGATTGAACTCAGGGGCACTCAAACATTAAGCCACATCCTCAGCCCTATTTTGTGTTTTATTTAGAGACAGGGGCTCACCAAGTTGCTTAGCACATCAGTTTACCAGAGGTTGGTTTTGTTGTTGTTTTGATTTAATTTTTGTTGCTGTTTTCTGGTCCTTACAAATGAACCTACTCCTGATTTTATCATTACATTTTTCTATGTACTGTCAGATTCATCTATTTTTTCTTTATTTTTATCTGATTTTGAGGATTTTTTTATTTTTGTTTACGTTCTAAATTCTTGATTTTATGTGCAGTTCACATATTTTCATTCTTTTTATATAATTTTTATGGATGAAAATTTTCTACTAAAGTGTGACTTGGCCTTTATGCTGTAAGAAAAAATTGTGTGTGTGTGTGTGTGTGTGTGTGTGTGTTTGTGTGTGTGTTCTCTGGAATTCTAATCAGATATTCCTAGTTAAAATGGAAAAATTGGTTAAATTTTTTTGGTTATGTTTTTTGCTATGTTTAAAAAAGTGACTACATTTCAACACTGTTGTGGCTGTGCAAACTTTACAGAAAAATTTGGAGAATAAACATGGTATATTTTAATCCATGCAAAGATTAGCACGTTTCCACTAAATTTTTCTTTGACAGTAAATTTCTACATATATTTCTACATCTATGAATTATAGTAAATAGTGATATTAAATCATTTTCTTTTTAAAATAGAATTGTTTTAAAATTGTAACTTGTTTTAAAACGATCTTTCATTGATTTGAGAAAATCAGAGAATATGGAAATACAAAAATACAGAATATTTTATTTTAATATGGAAATTATTTCAATATATGAATGTGTTTGATATAATATATTCAGGAAAGATTTAATATGAAAAGCATGTGTAATAATGATAAGAATATAAAGTAATCTAATTTGTGTATTTTAAGACATCAAATACTTAAAAATTTGGGGCTGGGTCTGTAGCTCCCTGGCGGAGTGTATGCTTTGCATTCACAAGGCCCTAGGTTCAATCCCCAGCAACACACGCACAAAATGAATTGTATATGAACTTATCAAAATTAATCTACAGGAATTTGTTGTATAAAAAGTTTTAAAAGTTTAAATAATAAGAACTTTTTAATAGTAAAAATTTTTTAATAGTAAAATATTTTCCTGTTGATTCTTAATATAAATTTCATTGTATTTGCCGACATTTTAGTTTAAACTTTGAAGGATTTTGAAGTAATAAAATACTCTAGCAATATATCTAGTCTGTCTATATCTGAAAGACACTAAAACATTAACATTTGCTGCTAATAATTTCCTGTGAGAGCAGTAATTCAGATAGAACTAGTAAGGCAGTTACTAAAGAAAAAGACCTATGTTCAAAAAGAGGGACTCAAATAAAGAAATACATGTCCACTTGGGCCTATGAAAATGAAAATTCAAGAGATTTTAAACAGTGTTAAAAACTAATATTTTTCATATTTCCCTTTCTGTTTATATCTGTTAAGAAATGTTTTATGTGATACTCAATGATCTGTTTTCAGATTTCCTATTATTCCCCTGGGAGTAGAATTTCCAGATAAGATACAGATATATTCAGTTAAATTTGAATTTTGAGGTAACAGATATTTTAAAGTATGTTCCAAATATTGCATGCACATTTATTTACTGAGGCTTACACTTCTTTCTGAATGGAAAAGGTATTCATTTTCAAGTACAAATAGCATAGATGATTCTGTAATTGAAGAGAATTTGGATCTTTACATATTTTTTATTTTTGATTGATAAATATTGATTTTATATATATATATATATATATATATATATATATTTATGGGGTACAATGTGATGTTTCCATATATGATGACAACATTCAAAATCTATTTTTTAGCAATTTTGAAATGTACAATACACTATTATTAACTATAGTGTATACAATGCAATAAATCTCAACAATTTATGTTACTGAAACTTTGTACATTTTGACCAATGTCTCCCCATTTTCCCTATCCCCTGATTCTGGTAACCACCATTCTACTCTCAATTTCTGTGAGTTTGACTCTTGCAGGTTCCACATATATGTATGATTATACTGCATTTGTCTTTTTGGGCCCGGCTTATTTTGGAACTTTACAATTTGGAGAAAACTTCAGGATCCATGGAGGAAGAGCCAAAAAAGAAGAAGGAAATGGAAGCTTCTGAGTGTTTGTCAACAGTGAAATCTCCGTGCAGGAATTGGACATGGACAATATATAGCATGGTATGGCACATCATGATTGGTGAAATTGGATTTGTAAAAGTACTGATACATTGGAAATATCAGCTCTTGCCTGTGGAGACTCTTGCTCTGTGGCTGCAATAGCCTGGTCATCTTACCCATTACCAGTTGCATTGAGGAAAAAAAATCTTTGCTGTACTCTAGTGCCTAGATTTGGGCTCCTTACACTATTCTTCATGAAAAGGAACCAGGGCTCCTTGGAGGGTAGCTGGCACCAAATCGTGGGCTGGAGAAGTTAAGGTGAGCCTGGACCACCTTGCCATTTGCAGAAAGTGAGAATGCTGACTGGGGTTACAAAGGATAAATGGGCCTGAAGAGGCCTCTCACTGGGCAAAGAGTGAAAATTGAGCATAAAAAAAATGTGTAGGGGGGCTAGTAGCATAGTGATGCAGCACTTGCATAGCATGTGTGAGGTCCTGGTATCAGTCCCTAGTACTGCAAGAGAGAGAGAGAGAGAGAGAGAGAGAGAGAGAGAGAGAGAGAAGTGATTTTGCCATCCATGAAGATACTAAATATAACATAAAACATGCCAAAAATACCTGTAATGAACACAGTAATTTCTAGTATGATTTATGAAAATGCTATATATTGACCTATCCAATTTATGCAAATCCTACACTCAAGTTTTCATCAATGAAGAAGTGAACACAAAAGGAGATTTGGACTACATGATTTATATATAACAAGTTATTAGTTTTAAGTTGGAGAGAGATGTGGGCAATGCAAAGTTGGACTTTTTGAAAAGAAATTAATATAGAGTGACATGTAACAGGTGGAAGCAATTTCCTTCAGAATAAAAAGACAACATTTTGGGAATTGGAGACTATTGAATTAAAGAGTTTGTAAAAGCTTTAAAATATTACTAGAAACAACATGTTATACTAGAAACAAAATGTTATGCAAAATTTTGCAGTCCTGAAATGTATGGAGATATATTTAAGAAAGAAGATGTTTGATTATTTTCATCATTTTGACTGCATATTGAGCTTTCATGCTTAAGAATTTCAAGTATTATTACACTTATAGGATGTTCATTTAGCTGATGTGACCATAGATAGCATAAATAAACCATTTTTGAATTTACATTACCATATGTATCTTGTGCATTTCTATTATATGGAAAGAAATACTGGCACAGGGTAGGAGCAGCATATTTTTATAATCATTTCTCTTAAATGCTGAGTACTTAGGAAAAATTTTTTTTCTGCTTGTTCCTTTCCTCAAGTAACAATTTCTGTTTTGGTTTATGGTTTATAAGAGTAAGAAAGTTCATATTTTAATATGCATTAGATTCTGAAATCACCAATTTATCTTGGAAAATTGGGGGAATTGATTACTTAGATTATGATTTTTTAAAAGTTCTCTTTTATCCTGGGAAATAGGCTGATTTATATATAATTTTGAATGTATAGGGCTGGTGTTTGAATATTTTTGTTTC